CTATTTGGAACAAGGGACAAGGGCAGATAACAAATAGTACAAGGATCTGATTCCTCATTCCGTACAAAGAGCTGCAGCAAATATCGAAATTAAGAAGATATACGCACATCTGCCTGTGTTGGGAATGTTTGCTTTGCTTCTATGGTCAATAAGGAGATGCACAAAGCTAGGGAAAGCATTATTTAAATTATAATAAAAATATTAGCCTCTCAGTTGCATCAAAATTAAGGTGATAAACTCTGTAAAAGGCATTCATTAAATATTACATTGCATGCATTAACTTTACTCTGAAACATCATTGTGACTTTAAAATAGTCAAACAGGAAGATACATTTTACTATCCATACATAAAAGAAATTTTGTAGGTAATATTTTCCAGATGTTGCCACATGGTATGCAGCATCCATGCACATGAATCTTTGTCTCCTGACTGTGACTATAACCCTAGGTCCTATGTTCCAGCTACCACTGCCCTTTTAATTTCAAAATCTGCTACTGGTCGTGCTGAAATTTTTAGAATTCTCTATCATTTGCTTTAAATGCCGCTGCAATTCTGATCTATTAATAGCTATTTCCAATGCTTCCTATTCCCAGTTTCAAGGGAAAAATGATTAAAGATGGCTTTTCTTAAAATTCAGTGGTACATTTAACTGATTAGATACTGCAAGTTCTTGTGCTAAAAATCATACCTCTTCTTTCCCAAAATACGTTACTGAGGTTTCTACAAGATGTAGATAATTTATTGTTCAATGTTAATTTTTTAATGTTAATTTTTTAATTGATGAGCCAAATTCAGAAAACATTTTTCAAATTATATTTAAATTGGTTAAATATTAAATGAAATACGTATTTCATATCTTATTCTCTAACTTGAGTTTACTAAAAAGAGGATGTATATAAATGCTACTTATGGGAATATTAATGAAGTCTTTCATTTAAACAAGCGTCACTCTAGGTAGTTACAACCTGTCTAAGAACTATATTCATTCTTAACCTTCAAAATTGGCAGAGTCTAATCTAAAATAAGAACACTATGGATGCTTTAGGAAGGAATGCTTCTTATGTTTTTGCACATGCAGAAGACTAAAGCAAGTAAAAATCTTTTATAGGAAAGAAATTGTATAAATAAAGAATACGATCTATGATCATTTTCATATGCTGCTAAGAGTTGGATGAATACTTCCGAAGAGCTGGCGCCTCTTTCGGGGAGTGGCAGACCAAGTAGTGCAGGGATTTCCCTTTTTATTGAGCTCAAATGTGGTATCTATTAAAGTAATTTAAACTATGCATGATTTTTTAAAAAAAAATCTTTTATGCAGACTTTTCAGCAATCCAATATATAAATTTGTAACAATGAGACTTTTAATCTTTAAGCATTCTTATTGGATGTGCTCAATAACCTTGCGATCAGAAAAGTGGATGGCTTCAAGTTCAGTTTTATAAAGCAGACAAATTTTCTGCATTATCCTTCTATGAAAACAGAGCTGAAATTCAAGCTAGCAATTTGAGTCTTCTTTTCAAATATTCCACATTCATTTGAAATGTATAAACTGAGGAAAAGCAAGGAAGATGAAAATAATAAAATTGTTCTCCAAATATAATTAGATCATGCAACTTTAAGCCTATGTTCAAACCAGTCTTATTTTCTAAATGATGGATTTTGATCCTGCAGCAAACAAATGTTATTTAGAGCAGGGCTTCCACTCATGGTGTGCAGAGGGCCTTTGGCAAGATCTGTCTCTCCTCTTTAAGTTAGCATACAGAAAGAAACAGAAAGATGAGCAAAGCCTTTTCAAAGAAATCACTCAGATATTGGAGCAATCCCTAAGACTGCGTAGTGGGCAGAGGGAATAACCTGGAGGAACAGGAGGAAGAGCTGCAACCAAGACAATGGTCAGATAAAAGACATCCAAGTCCAGTGCAGAAATATAATTTGAGAAAGTGTCTCAGACATGACCCTCCCAAATTCACATGAAGATAAAGGGAGGGAGGGGAGAAGCACATTCAGACTTGCAAGATTCTATTATACAGATAGTCCTCAGGTTACGACAGCAATTGGTACCGGAATTTCCATTGCTAAGTGATATGGTCATAAAGGACAGGTGACAGCAAGGACTGCATGGGTCATTAAGCAAGGACCTCATGTGACTGCAACATGGGAAGAGGCAAAAATCCAGGCAAGCAGGCCAGTGGGTGAGAGCTATGGGCGGGCAGGGGCTATGGAGTGTGGATGGGCGGGTGCTGTGGGTGGGCACTACAGAGTGCAGGTGGGTGGACACTACGGAATGCGGGCAGGCAAAAAAGCAGTGGAAGTGGATGTGACTTGCAGGAGCGACTTGTAACCTCCTACCAGCTTCCCCATTGACTTTGCTTGTGTGAAGCCAGCAGGGAAGGTCACAAATGGCAATCATATGACCACAGGGACGCTGCAACAGCCACAACTTCAAGGACCGGTCATAAGTTCCCCTTGTTCAGCATCATCGTAACTTTGAATGGTTCCTGACCAAGTGGTCATAACCCAAGGAATACCTGTAACCTTATAATAAAAGTAGTAATAGCTTCTGTGTCTTTGATTTCCAAGTTTGGTCTACCTTGGAGGGTTGGCAGACTGTGGTGACAGCAGCATCACAGTGGGCAGGAGGGATGAATACTGACCAGAAAGATGTGTTCCCTGCTGTCTCCCAACCAATGTTGGCTGGAGAGAGAGGGATGGGCTATGAGTTGCTGGTCACAAGTCACCAGAAGGCACTGTTGGGTTTAGCTGAGAGAATAGGGCTGCTGATGCATACACACATACTGTACTGAACGTACTGTTTGGAGGGATTTTTGAATGGTTTAGCAAAAATGGGGAGGGGGATGGTGAATTATACACAGATCTTCCATACATTTTGCAAATATTTTCACCACTGCACTGAATCACTCTCTAAGTTCCCCATCAAATCCAAGAAGGATCATTCCACTGTGTGTCCCCATCCTGTTCCCATATTTCATTGCAACAGGGAAAGAATGGTATCTTATGGTTTCTGAAACCAAATCCTATAAGCTTCTAGATTTGGGCTTTTTATTCTCAGTGGGGGAGAACAATCTGATCTTCTTTTTGGAGGATAGTTTGTTTCAGAGTTACACAATTTTTTTACTTAAACATATTTACAACAATAAAATATCAAGATGTTTACAGGTAGTCCTCGACTTACGGCCATTCGTTTAACGGCCATTCAAAGTTGTGACAGTGCTGAAAAAAGTGACTTACGACCAGTCCTCACACTTGCAACCGTCGCAGCGTCCCCGCAGTCACGTGATCAAAATCCGGGCACTTGGCAACCAGCATGCATTTACAATGGTTCTAGTGTCCCAGAGTCACGTGATCGCCATTTGCAACCTCCCCAGGGGCTTCTGACAAGCAAAGTCAATGGGGGAAGCCGGATTGCTTAACAATCATGTGATTCTCTTAACGACCGCAGCAAAAAAAAGGTCATAAGATCAGGCGCAACTCACTTAACAACCACATCACTTAGTGATGGAAGTTCTGGTTCCAATTGTGGTCTTAAGTTGAGGGCTACCTGTTTGACATTAATAATTAAAGAAACGCTTGTGTTCTGGAATCAAAACATCTGAGTTAGTTTTAGAAAGGATCTTGGTTTGAAAACACTATTTTAGAGCAGTGTTTCTCTACCTTAGCAACTCTAAGATATGTGGACTTCAACCTCTAGAATTCCCCAGCCAGCATGCTGGCTGGGGAATTCTGTGAGTTGTAGTCTGCATATCTTAAGTTGCCATGGTTGAGAAGCACTGTTAAAGTACTTCTGTGCATGAATTGTTTTGTGCACAGAGAGCTAGTTTCAGGTAGTTTGATGCCCAAACTGAAACATGCACATTTCAGATATTTTGGTCTGTGTGTGGAATGAAATGGAGCTGTTTGTGAGTAGCGGGGAAGGAAAAACAGTGGATAACACCAGGGTCTGAGGGAAGGCAGGCTAGCAGTGATGGTAGTTGGTGTGTTTGGGGGGGAAGGAGTGGTGCTGGGAAGATGGGGTGGGCTGCTGGTGGAATGAATCATGCTAGAAGCCACTGAAGTGAGAAGAGGGAACATAAAATGCAGTAGTCCTGCACTCCATCTAGAAACCCAGAGGAAGCAAAGCATTTTGGGCTTTAGTTCTGTTCCAAAATGGTTTGATAAAACCTCTGGAGCACAACCCTTTTATTCTGGGTTTGAAACAAAACATTTTCTCCATTTTGTGCATACCCGTTTCTTATTATGTGTTTCTCTTATATACTGTGCTTTCTTCAAAAGCAAAGCATTTTGGGCTTTAGTTCTGTTCCAAAATGGTTTGATAAAACCTCTGGAGCACAACCCTTTTATTCTGGGTTTGAAACAAAACATTTTCTCCATTTTGTGCATACCCGTTTCTTATTATGTGTTTCTCTTATATACTGTGCTTTCTTCAAATATAAACCCGCATCTCATTTGCTTTTTTAACTAGCTTGTGCCAGCAGAAAATCAAAGAACTATAAACATATAATATTCGTTAGTTGTCCAAATGTCACAAAAATATAGTTTTGTCACTAAATAATGGAAATATATAATTCAGTGTAGAATTCCACTGTACGCTGCCCCTTGTGTGCCACAGAATATCATAGGACACTCTTATCTTAGCAGACACCAAGAGTTAACCATGCAACAAAAAATTCAAAATAGATAAACCCAAACAGTTAACTAGCCTAGGGACTATGAGATCAGCAATATTTCATGTAAAAAAACTTGCTTTAATAGAAGGATTAACATTTTTAATATATACGTGCAGTATCCTTCACTTAACAACAGTTCTCAAAATCACAGGATTGAAATAAAATGTAAGACATTGTAAAAAAAGAAAATCTAGATGTTTGGTAGAGTACTAACCAGTAACTGACAGCAGCTGTGAGACTCTCACCTCCATTTCCTCCCGATGAGACCTGTCTCTGTCTTCAAATTCTCGAGTTCTTCTCCGAGCTTCTTCAAAAGCCTGCTGTGCTAATGCATCTTCCTGCTACCAACCAGAAACCAGAGTCAGGAAAAAAAGTAATTTTACTTGCATTGGAATCAAATGTTTACTTGACTGCAGCCATCACTTGGCTGAATTCTCCCATGGGGGGGGGGGGGGGGGG